AGTATGCAGCTGATTCAAACAGCATATATACACTGATGAAATAGTGTATATGCGCTAATTATTAATGTATATACGCTGCTTGAATCAGCTGCATACTTATAGCTGCAAATTAGCGACGCTTCGCTAATTCAAATTTTGAGAGCAGGGTAAATGGGGACAGCTTGTCATTATTAACCAAATTGACAAAAATCAAAAATTCAAGTGAATTTCTGTTACGGGAATCATAAGGAATAAGAAAAAAATTTGGTATGATTTTTAAGTCTGTTTTCTTTGAAATGCGAGAAAAAATACTGAAACAGTTTGACTTTGATTTTCAAGTTTTTATGCATTGAGCGATAACTTTTTTTATCTTGCTGCCAATTGTCAAGATAAAAGCTTGGCAATACTCAAAACCTCTTGCAGGTGATCTGAGGTTAAAATATTGACGTTGAACTTAATTTTAAAACTGTAAATTAAACTCCAAAACCTCTTGTCCCCATTTACCCCAACTGACCCTACTCAACAACATATAGTATTTGATTTTCCAAAGTTTTTATATTATTCGTCAGAAAAAAGTAAATTTTAAATATTTTTTAAAATTATAATCAGTATTAGTTATATTTATTTAAAATTTCCCTAAATTTAGAAAAAAATTTAAAGATTTTAACACTTTTACACACTAAAAAAGAAATCTTGATTTCAGCCTATTTTTGAGGCTGAATTTAAGGTGTAAACGGAGTCAGACCAATTAAAAAAGGACAGACTTATGCAAAATATATGGGCTTAATTTAAGGTGTAAACGGTTTAAGACTTTGTTTTTACTGTGTATGGTCAAAATTAGAATGAATCTCATATTATATATTTGTTTTCCTCGTTAAAGGAATGTATAACAGTTGTACACTTAAAATATGTTCAGTGGGACATTTACTCACTTGCGACGATGAGACAATCAGCCATAACGATTTTATTGCCGCCATTATTGGAACCAGCAATTATGACAATTGCCGAGTTCTATATATGTATTAATGTGTGAGTTGTATTTGACAATTCGGAAAATTGGATTATTTTAACATGTAAATGCATTATGTAAATGCAATGTTTACACTGCTTTTATCTTGAATTTAATTCATTTTCGATGACGATGATAATAATGAATTCCGCTTTTTTATACCATAATAATCACAAAAATCAGTTAATGTGTAACTTCATTTCACTTTTACATTTACTTTATTTTTTAAGAATTAAGAAACTGCAAAATCACTAAATTCGCGGTTTTAAATTATTTTAGAAAATATCAAACTGGAATTTCCATGGAAATTCTATGGAATTATTCCAAGGGTCACTTTTGAGGTAATATTTCTATCTGGGCCACTGGAAAATAAAACAGAATTATTATTTTGTTATTATTAATTTATCAAAATTATGATGAAATCATTATCGTAAAATAATATGTATGAAGGTGATATATATAGTGATTGTGATAGTCACGGACATTGTGCACGCCCTGGTATCGTGCGTGCATTATATAACCGGGAAAATCGAACTTATATGCCCACATTAAAAATGACTATTTGTCTGTTACCTATGCCAAATTTATTATTATCAATCATTATAACAATTAACTCAAAAAATAGTTAAAGCGGACAAAATAAATATAACAGAACAATTAAAAGTGACATATATTTTTCTTTTCTTTTTGTATAAGGAAAATAAAGTTAAAAAGATTATTACTCGACAATATTTAAAAAGGATGAAAATATAATTGGAAGAAGTAAATTGGTTTTCATATTAGAAAAGGGGTGAGGGAGCGGGAGATTTACAACTTTTAAGGGAAAGTTAGCGACGTTGCTGAAAATTAAGCGCTTGCGATAGCAAAATATCTTCAACGCGGGTGAGAAGATTTAATGGTGCCGACGAGTCTCTCTAAACGCGCGCGATGTAAACCGATCTCACGCGAGTAAAAACCGCACCGACCTTTAAAAAAAAAAATATATATATATAATTCCGTGAAAGAATTTCATTTGCAAAACAAATTTTACGTCACATAAAGATGATTTTACGTCAGGAGATATAGAGGTATCCCTTTTTATTAAACATTAGCATTATTTTCTTTATTTATTTTTCTGTTTTTTAAATTCAACGTGACGGCATTTTTTCTCCCATCGTACGGTACGAAATAAACATTCCCGTGGTCGTTTATGAAGCTTCTTTCACAGAAATGCTGCTGTTCAAAAATATAATATAAAACGAGACTATGCATTTTTTATATGAAATCTTTTCTCTTGATACTTTTTTTTCTATATAAATGTACAACTTTTTCGAAGTATAAAAATTTTGTGAATAAACAATTAATACAGAGAACAATATTGCTTCTTGCACATTACTAATGAAATAATTATTTTTTTTATTTCTGACTCTTTCTAAAAAGGCAAAAAATGAAGAATATTAGAAAAAGAAATTTTTAGTTCCTGCGTGTCTAATGAATGAAAATTAAAAATAAACATTAGCGATACATTTTTAAATTATTATTAATGTTAATCTATTACAAACTTGAGAGAAAATTTTTGCTAATTTGTTTCAAGTTCACACTCTCATGTATTATTTATTTCCAATTCCACAAAAGTACATATAAATTAAGTTTGTTTGTGCATTAATTAATATATACTCAATCGGTCTCATTAATTTAAAATGCAAAGCGTTTTATTGGATTAATTAATCATTTTTATACGATATAAAATTAACAATAATGAGAACAATTATAAAAAATAAAATAAATTACGAAGACAAATGTATGTTGCAAATAAATTGAAAAAAACTTTGTGTAACATTTTCAAAAAAATAAAACTATTTTGCATGAGACAGCAATTTATAAATAAATGTTTTTTGATAAAAATATGGCGGTGGTTTTGCAGTGGCCGATAATAGACTTTTACGATTTGGAATGGAAAGTCTTGTGAATAAAGCAGAATGCAGATGTGTTATCCAATTATCCTGGTCCAAGTGCTTCTCCTATAGAGTTAGCCTTTGAAACAGGGAGTCTCTTCTATTTTGCAACTATGCAGGTAGTTGTTACGTGTGCAAGTGACCTTGTTTAAATATAACAAAACAATATAAATATATATATATTTACATGTATAATAAATGTGTGTGAGCTTTCTACAAAGAACAAGTATTTAATTAGGCTCTGAAAAATCATGTTTCAAGTGAAATTATAATTTATAGCAAAGTGTATGTATATATCGATCCACTGCAAGAGAGCTACCTTGTGATTTTTCCTCGTAGTAATAATCTTGAGCAACTCTCTTGTACTTTTTCTCTTTTACTTCTTTAAATTAAGCCTTAACATTCTTCAACGAATTTTAAAAGGAAAATATATACTTTGAAACTTGTTCTTTTTTTACTTTCTCTCTCTGATTTTTCTCTTCTTTTTTAAAATTATATGAACACTCGTTACGTTTATTTCAGATTCGTTTAATATTCTAGTGGTTAAAAAGAAAAAAACGTTTCCGTTTTAAATTGCCTCTTTTTATGTTATTTCATTTTAAATTCTATTTTGTGTTAATACGAATTCTTAACTATTTTAAGTTTGTTATATCAAGTTCGACACTGTACTGTTGTGAAAATTGAAATTAAAAAAATAAAGATTTGATGGTCAATTTCGAAGATTTATAAGAAGCCACAAAATGGAAGTGAAGTGATGCGAAATTGAAGTCAGGTAAAGATATACAGTTTATAAACGAAATGAAGCTTGCACAAGCCCCCAGGACTGTTTCATAAATGAAAGCACATTGATATTAATGGAAAAGCCTCTACTGCTGTATATGTATATAACGCGATTAAACATTGTTAATATATCGCTTACATTTAGTATCTTACAATTGTTCGAGACACTCCGAGCCAATGTGAAAGATTCCTCATCATCACTGTAAATTCAAAGGATCCAATTATTTTAGCTCCTGTGAAAAAAAAATATCTTTACATTATTCACATTAATAAACATCTCACATATATAACGTAAAGAAGCTTAAAAATATTATATATCAGATAAATTATAAATAGATTTGAAAAAAGCAACTAGCAAAATAGGGCAAATTGCAATTAAGCTTTCTAGGATATATCGAAATAAATATATATCATATATACGTCTCACGAAGAAATAAAATTCTCTGCAATTTCCTTCTTACTCTGCCCGCCGGACACTGTAGAAATATTACATTTTATTCTATATTTCCCTTAGGAGTTTTGACTTATTTTCTTATACTTGTCGACAATAAGAAGGAAAGGAAAATTGGATTGATACTTTTACACATTATATATATATATATATATATATATATATATATATATATATATATATATATATATATATATCTCGAGATAAATACATTAGTTTCAGAAAATGAAAAACTTTTTGCATTAAACTTGGAATAATTTTAATTATTAAATTTATCATATATATAGCAGGTACAATAATTTATCAAAGTTTATTGTTCCCGCACAGTTTCTTCTTTGCTTGAAAAGTTGCCCTTTTTCATTCTTGATCGTGGTTATAACTACAGAAACCAAGTTTCTCAATAAACTTTACTGCAAAATCTGCCAATGGGTTTTGTCGGCTCGAAATGTTCCTCAGGACTTTCACAAAAGCAAAGTATGAGAATACGATCCAAATTTACGTTTCGTTTTTCAATTCAAACTACATGAGCTCCCAAGTTTTCTTTTTATCGAGAATTATTTATGTAGACTGATTCTCGTGAAATCAATATACTGATTTTAAATTATGAGCACTAATATATTTTTTCTTATTGTTGACATTTTTTGTAGAAATTATTTTAAGTCATTTTGCACTTTAGGATTAAATTTTTTTTAATTTTAATGGAAAAATCCTATTTTTTCCATTGCATGTGAAAAATATCACTAAAATATAATTTCCTATCGAAAAAATAACATTTCTTTATTATGACAAAATTGTGTAATTATTATTCTCAGGAGGAAGTGAATAAAGACATTAAATTTATTTTCAGAGGCAAGACTGAAAACTGGCAAGACGTAAGAAAAATAGAAACTCGCAAACTACTCAACGAAGAAAGAGATAAGAATCGTGGAACATAATCTGGAAGACTTGTGCAGAAAAGGTAAGCTAAAATTCTCAATCTACTTGGCTTTGCTTTTCAAGGAATAAAAATGCTTTTCACTTTTTATGCGCACAAGACGTTGAAAGTGAACAAAAAAAATATCATATACATGTATAAAATTTATTAGAATCGGCAAAATAAAAACAGCATAATCTACATTATTCTTTCAAATTACAACATAAACGGTTTCTTTAAAATTTTTTCCATTCAATAAAACTTTTGCTCAAAATTATTTTCCAAAAAAATCGTTTCTTCTTTTTCTATAAAAGAATGGGATCGTTCACAAACTACGTCACACTTCAAGGGGTGGGGTCAAGCAATTTGTGACGACATGTTGAAAAATGGCGCTAAAGTATGTAATAATGTGTGACGTGAGGGAGGGGGGATTCAAAAATGGAATAAAATAGCGTGACGTAGTTTGTGAACGACCCCAATAACGCATTTAAAAAATTTTTCAAAATATATTATTTTCTAAAAGGTATATAATAATTAATATATATGTGTAACGTCCGATGACAAAGACACGATGAGCTAATTGCATAAAGTGCGGAACATTTTAATTGTAACACGGTCCATTAGATTCAGAATTTATGCACCGGAAGCTGCGCTATTCTGGTCGAATTTCACTGAAAGTAATTTTCATTCCGATGAGATGTGTATTTTGAATTTAAACACTCCATTTGACTGTCCTATAATTAACTATATTTAACGTTAACAATTTCAAAGAAATCTCTTTATAAAATGGAATTGAAATAAAAGGAATAAATTTTAATGAAATCTTTCTTCTTTTTATTAGAAAATTCAAAATAAATTTCGATCTTTTTGTTCGCCCACTTCTTATTCGAGAGAGAGATTTTACCTTTTCTTTTATTTTCATCCTTTCAACTTCATTTCTTGCAATCTATAAATTATATGTTCATCGAGCGAATCAGGAAAAACGGTTGAGACATTTGAGAAATGTTCTGTTTCATTTTTAATTTTATAGTTTTTGATAAAAATTGAAATTGAAACTCTAACAACAAGAAAATTCTTTTCTCTCTGAATATGTATTTTATTTATTCCTTGTATATTCCCTTGTAGAAAAAATTCGTGGCGCTAGCTAGCACTGCTAGATTACATAAAACATGGAGTCTAGTTTCTACCAGGGTTGTTAATTTATTTTTCATTACTTTTGTTAATTAAGTGAAAATTCAACGATAAACAACATTAAATTATTAATAATAATTATTATTTCAATTATATTGTCTAATATTTACAAAAAAAAAGAAAAGAAAAAAGAAAGAAAAACTCGTAATTCGTTGTTTAATTTGAATTTGAAAAGATGCCAGTGAAGCCTGTTGCTCCATTTTCCCCCCAAGGTTGCCAGCTTTATATATATAAAATATCAAATTCTGACCTTGACACCTGTCGACTTTCTGGGTGTCAGTACAGTATAACTTTCATTTTTTCTGAAATTGTAACAAAAAAATTTTTTTTAAAATTATCACTCGGTAAACTTTATAAGTATAATATATATAATGATAGTTACTTGAACTGTTGTTACTTTCTGTAATTGAACTTGAAACTTTACTGAGTTCATTGGTTAGCCTGTTGCTCGCATTCCACCAATGCAATTGGTCGTTCCATTCTCCCTGAGGGAGGTGTAGAAAACGAGATCCTAACGAAATGTCTGTTCGCATAAGGAATTTTTACTCGAAAAAGCATTGCTTTTGATTATACTTGTTACTTGTCATTCGATAGTTTATATTATTTATATTAATTTTTCTATTATAATATTTCATTTATATTATTGTACTTATTATATTTTTATTTTATTAGTACAATGTAAATTTATTTTTATTATATTAATGCATATTTATTTCATATTTATTCATTAATAATAATTATTATTACTTTTATAGTAATTTTCAATATTATTAAATATTTTCAAGTTGATAAATAATTTTTATAAATGAAAAATAAAAAAAATGATTTCAAATTAGGACGCGCTATTGTAGTAGCGAATGGGTAATTTTACTTATGCATGCGCAATTGCGTTTGGGGAGCAGACGTACTTATTGTTAGTTTATGCTAACAAAAAAGTTGTTTTGAAAAATTGAAAAGACATAATTAAACAGAACAAAAATATAATAAATTATAGACCTTCTTTATCAACAATAGTGAATAATTTTCATTCTAAATATTAAAAATAAAATATTTTTCAAATCAATTTTAATCGTTATTTTTGCTTGTCTATGATTATTTTCTTCTCATGTTTATAGCATTTTTAACATTATTTTTTTTTATTATAATCAAATGTAGAAAAACTCTAAAAGTCGTAATGGTAGATTTGTTTTTCAGTGTGTGTACTTTTATCCCTGCACACCCCGCGGATCAATACTCACCTGCTCGGAGCATTTACGTAGATAGTCTCATTTTCTCAATGTAGATACTCGATTTAAGTATATGTACACTTTTCTGACAAATATTCAATATTATCTGATTGTTTTAAAATTTATTATACTATTAACTTTTGGAGAATTGTAATTAAATGAAAGTTATGCATAAGAAATAATCAAATTTCTTCTGTTTACTGAAATTTATATTTTTGCGTTCTTTGAATAAATAACAACTTAAATTATTTCATACTTTCAAAAATCTATTTAAAATTAAAACGGAAGTTTTATTAATATAATTTGAAAAAATTTTAATATTAGTTTTAAACTAAACAAAACATTGATTTTAAAATATAAAAAGTTGTTTTTTTTCAATAAATATTTCTAAAGTCATAAAATTCTCTCGGGAAATCTTTTATAACAAAATCAACCCCGCAACAAAATCTAAAAAAAAACTTAACTTTTTTTGTATTATCAGAATTTTTCTCTAAGGAAATTTGTACTTCTGGAAGGTGTATTTTTATATGATATAAATAATATTATATTTATAAAAAAGAAGAAAATTGTCTGCATAAAATTCATTATTCAGAAATATTTTTTCTTAAAAAAAATATTTTTACCCAGGCATATAGCTTTCCTGTAAAAGTTCTTGAATAAGAAAAATGTTCTCTATAAAAGTTGTATGGGAATTTGTTCTTTTACAGCTTTCAGCGGTAAATTTGTTTTCTGCAGTCACAAAGAAAAATATTCTTTTTCTTTCTTTCGTAGGAAAATTCAAATATTTTCTTTCTATAAATAAGAGAATTTAATAAATTAAAAAAAATAATTACAGTTACTTTGGAAATAAGTAAAGTGAAAATATTAATTAGGTACACTACATACAGTAAGGGGGAAGTGAGCTTTATGGAAAATCCAAGATTACTTCCGCTTTCTAGTAAATCAGCGTCTTCATTATTGTTCAGATAATTATACTTTAATTCCAAATATTATTAATATTTAAATAAAATAGTGAAATAGTGAAAAAAATTCAATGTTAGTGAAAACAATTTTAATTTCACTAAAAAAAAATCCTCTTATCTTGAAATGATGGAAAAATGTAAATAACGGTTGAATATCAAAAAAGTTTCCCGCGGATATTATTTAATCTTTCTTATGATCTTGGTGGAATGTTAAAAAGCAAGCTTGCTTTAAGTAGAGTATATTTCGGTTCTTTTGTCTTGTACGCAAGCCTGTGCATATATTCATTCGGAGGGGACTCTCGTATTTGATGAAACGCGTTGGTTACTCTCTCGTCAAGAGTTTAGGTCAAGGATAAAACAAAAAAAGGCCGTTTTAACGTAATAAAGTGAAAGACGCAGAAAAAGTGTTGCATGTATACCTATATGAAGAGAAAAGGAAGAGCTATCTTCTTGCGCATTACCTTTTTTTAATACAGAAAAGTGCACTCTAAAACTTTTTAATCCTTGACATATAAATGCCGAGTAAATCTTTTCAGATGGTAATTAATATTATAATGTTAGTTTTCAAAAACATAAAATCAAATAAAAGTCGTTTTATTACTTTGGAATTATTTTTTTAAAAAAAAACTATTCTTCCCCATAAGAAAAATTTCAAATTTTTCTCTTAACGAATTTTGATGAGTTTTTTTTTATAGTAATATTGACGACGAAAGAATCAAATCGATTAAAAATTTGTTCCCTCTTTCTTTCAAGCTCCAAACTCAGGAAATATAATTCGAACCGAAAACCAATATTTGCTTTTTATTTTTTTTTATTTTTTTCTCTTTCCTATTTTCTATCTCAACGCTGCATGGCACTCGAAATATTCTGGGTCACTTAAAATCTCCTTTCACTCACACACACACACGTCATAAAGAATCAAAAAATTTTGTCGAAAAAGTAAAAACAGAAAAATCTTCCGAAAAGGTTACAACTGAAATATTGAAAAAAAGGATAAAGAAAACTTTTTTTCTGTATTGAATATATATATATATAAATGTTTAGATTCGTAACAAAAGCGTCTGAAATTCATTGGGGTTAATTGACTTTAAATTTCAAAAGAGCCTGTGTCCATGTCGCTTTTAATAAATCACTATGTCGATGCGCCCCCCACTATAACACAAAACCCACCCTAATATCGTGTATATGACATTGAGAACTTTATACACTAGAGACTTTCAAAATGTAAGCTGACATTTAATATTAAAAACCTCGTTCCTTTGTATGTTGAATATAATATTTACACAGCATGAACTGTAAAGTTGAATCTTTTTTTTTTTGCTAGTCCCTCTTGGTTTCTCAATCATGTCTAAATAAATTATACCCCACAATCACTTGTTTCCTCCACGTTCCATTTTACTGTCTACTTCTCGATTGATTTTATAAAAATTAATATTTAATAACGGAACAAAATTAATAATAATATGAATAGTTTATTTCTAAATAAAATATGAATAAAAACATTTGTAGAAATATATAAAGATAAAATAATAATAATGAAGATAAATTCCTTGCACATAAACTATTTTATCGTTAGATGTAAATGTTTTATTGTTCAAGAGCTACAATTCACTTGGTTTCGTTTATATGTGGTAATAAAATATACATCACAACTAATGACAGCTTTATACATTGTACCTAAAATTTCCATACAATTTTGTGGTTTATAAATTTTATACATAATTTTATCGAATCATTAATTTAATAATTTGGTATAACAAAATTTTATTAATCTATTTTCAAGCTACTTTGTTTGAAACTTTTAACAGAAACCTCATTTTTTTAATAGAATTTAAAAATTTCAATTTAGTTTTCATTTTTAAATTTTTATTTCCCAATAAATTTTTCCCTCGACTAAACTTATATATTCACGTCGATTGATCTCGTTTTGTTCTTTATTCAACTGTCACGAGTGAACTCGAGAATTCCAATTATGAAACAGTGAGACGATCGATTAATGTGGGTAAGGGGAAATAGACGGGATTTCTGATTCGGTCACATAAGGTGTTTTTTTAAGTGAAAAATAATAATCCAACCAAATGGAAATTGTCAAGTGTTTCTAAAATTCAATTTCACTAGAGTTTATCAATATATTGTTCAATATATACATACAATGTAAAGTTTTAACCTCGTTTATGATAATAATAAAACTACCTGTTGGAAAGAAGGTGATATAAATTATTTTATCGCGAATAATTGTTCAAATTAGTAAAAAATAAAAGAATTACTTCGAATGACAAAAAGAATTTTATAATTGATGATTTTATTAATTTTGATTTCGAATTACATACCCGTAAAAATTGGTAAACATGACTTTTTATTTGCATTATTTATTTAATGTCTTTTCAATGTTTCAAAACACCCCTTTCTTAATCTTCTTTGATTTGTCTTTGTTTTTTAAAACACTTTTTAATTCAATATGAACAAACATAATAGTGTAATTTTTTTTTTATTATTGAATAATTTATCGCAGGAAAGATAAGCGATTTTAGGTTACTCTATCGGAATTTGTTGCAAACCTAACATTATTAGGCGCGGCAAAAATTTAAACTGTAAATTTATTTGATTTTTTCACATAATTATATTCGTGTATTTTTAGACACATACACACAAAATTATTATTAATGCAAAAAGTTGAAACTATCAAGGCAAAATAACTATTGCAGTGAATAAAGAAACAATGCATAATTTCAACTTCTTATCACGTAATTTACTATTGAAAAAGAGTATATATCTATTGAAAGTTAGTTTTAACATTGATATTTCATATTTAATAACGATTCTCGTCTTGCGTACTTTTGTCACGTTCGTGTTTATATATATATATAAAAAAAAACACTTCCTTTCTGGCGATCACGAACTAAAGAATCGAAAATTTTGGAACTGTACACACGATTCGAAAAGAGAGAAATAAAAACTCATTGAAAATTACTTTTGATATCAAACTGTGCGAAAATTAATGTCACATAATCGATTTTCCATTCAGCCGTCTATTCTCTCTCTGTCGTTGAATTTTTCTCTTTTTTTATTTTTATCCCGTTTGTATGAGACTTGAATAATTTCTCTTCCACCAAGTGTCGTAACGCTTATACGCAAAGAGTTATTACATCTGCTTTCTTTTCATCTTCTTTCCTTTATTTTCTTTCTCAATTTTTTATTTATAGAATTAATATATATATATATATATATACAGTTGCAATGAAACGCAAAAGTTTCTTTTCTTTTTTTTTAATATTCTATAAATTTCAACTAAATTCATGAAATAAATATAATCTATTTGTAGAAAATCTATTGTATAATTATAATGAAATTGGTAAATGGAAAAAATCTGTTTTCTATCAATATTTCACGAGGATTACAACTTATCCTCTTTCTATTTTTTCCTTCTTTCAAGGGAAATTCCCCACACAATTGTCTGAAATCCCCTGAAATCCGTTTATTTGACAATTTGTTCTTTCTCGAAGGATGAAAAGGGGGAAGTGTGTCGGATCTTTTCTTTTAGAAATCGGATTAATTTTTTTCCATTCTTGATATAAGATTAGAACATAAATAATAAGTTTTGTAAATAAATATGAAATTGGTTTTATGATATTATAGTTATAATTTTATAGATATTAAATTACCTGCACCAAAATTGTGGTTACCCCTTGGACGGGAAGTATAATTATCTTTTCGAAATGATAATTATTGTATTTTTTCCCGAAAACAAAATAGTTTTAATATTTTTTTAGGTTTAAAATTGCCGGTGCAAGTTTTAAAAGAAAAAAGGATGTTGTATTCTTGTTCGGACGGTTGTGAACATAATGTTGAACATTATAGTGGAGAAGATAGATATGTTGGTACATAATTGACAAGTGACTTGACAATTTGCATTATTCCCATATACCTGAACGATATATCAAGAAAGTGTCAGGACAGAGTCGTTATCTAATGTGACAATCAGTGCATTGTTATGTACTCTATTTCTCGATTCAGGAAACTTGGTCACGAAACCGCAGCTTTCTACATAATACATGAATCATATGTACCTTTATGTGTCTTGTAAACACAAAGTGTAAAGAGATAGTAAAATTTTTATTGTTTGATTTTGTAGCTGTTATCATCATCATCATCATCATCATCATCATCATCATCCAAGTGAAAAACAACTAGAATTGTTGTTTTCCTAAAGAAATAGGGAGAGGTAAAGTTAGTTCAAAACAAGTTATATGCTTTCCTAGGAATTCATGTTGTCAAGAGAGACAGAGAATACAAAATACTTGTACAACATGAAAGCGTCATTCCTCAAGTCTCGCGGCTATTCATAGAGACGCCAAGTTTCTACAACTATGTATTAACTAATAATTTTAGCGCCATTTCTATTCTACTTTTAAAATCGCGTACTTATATTCCCTTGAATGACTCTCCATATCTAACTTTATAATTATGTAATATTCTAAAGACTTTTACTTGTCTTAAAATTAAACCTCTTATATACTTTACTATAAGTTTCTTTGCCACTAAAACAATTACAAATTATCTACAAATAAACAATTTTTAATTTTGTATTTTCTCCAAAATAACTTCTTCTTGTTGATCCATTATCAATTTATTAAAATAATTTTTTTAGTAGATATAGTTATTTTTTTAAATCAATATATAATTTTCAAAAATTTTAAATAATAAGAAAACAATTTATTATTTTGACTGTCAAATTGGAACAGAAAATATGAAAGAATTTTTCTTACATCTTTCCTTTCAAAATATATATATACAATATAGTATATTATTTATCTCCTCCATAATAATTATAAATATCTGAATTAATGTCAAACGACATTTTAAAATCGTCCAAGGACTCGCGAAACAATTTTATAATTACCTTGAAACGTGTTTAAACGTGAATTAAAAAATAATCCACATTTATTTATAATTATTTCATGACGTTTTTTAGCTAGCACATTAAAAAAATTCTATTAATTGCAAACGAAATAAATTGTTTATAAAAATTGATGAAAATTATTTTTTTTTTCATTAATATTATTTAAAAATTGAAAAAAAATAAATTATTTTACTCTTGGCAACAAAAATGTATAAATTAAATAATTTTTAGAGTTATAAATTAAAAATAGGTTTACTTAAAAACGCAAATTAAAAAAAATTTAAACTCATTCAAACATTAAAAGTACTTACATTCCTCACATAAAATTTCCATTAACATTTGTGCATTGATATATACATATATACAATATTTACAGACATATAGATATTATATTATTATATTATGGATCATAGGTGACTCAACAGGTAGCTCTCTGAAGCTCTAACCCTTGTCGACTCTTCTCTCTTTTCCCTCTATATACATACATATATAACCCTCACACGTATATTTCAAACATATGCACGTTTATTTACAACGATCAAAAAAGATAAAATACTTGAAATCAATTTTTTACTTTGGTAGATCCCTGTCTCTTTTCTTTAAAAACATTTTCTTCAATGAAATGAGAATTCCTACAACATTTTTCTATTTAAATTTAGCGCACCTTTGTTAATGTTTTCTTTTCATAATGACAGAAATACAGAAGAAAAGAAGTATTGTTTCTGTTGTGTGTTATTTTTTATTTTATTTCTGATTTATGATTACTACACTGAAAAAAGGGTTTGGTATTGACAAGCAAACGTTTGGTTGGTATTTAAGCAACCAAAATTTTTTTGTTGAATCAACAAAATTTTAATTGTCTCAACCAAAATTAGAAAAAAACTATTTTTGTTGTTGTTGTTGATTCAAGAAAAAAATGTTGGTTGTCAATACCAAACCTTTTTTTCAGTGTATATATATCATCAGTTTATGATTTTGTCAATCAATTATGATTTGTGTATTGCGAATATGAAAATGACATTTAGAATTTGGAAAGAGAAAAAGATGATTCGCAGGATACTTAAATTCGCGTTAGATCGCATCTGCTGGTTGTAAATGAAATATATATAGTATTTTAATTTGATTGATGAAAGTTTGAAGCACATACATATATGCACAAAACTCACAGACTAATAATATACTTTCAAGAGAGGAATTTAAATTTGGAAATTTTTTGTAAATGTCAATTTATTTATTTTTTGCAAAAGGTTTATTGTAAAATATTTACCAAGTGTGTAGAATCTATCAAAAGATAATAATTATAAAATATCAAGTTATATTTTTAATTGTCGAGGACTTGAGAAATCAAGAGAACTTTCGAGGTTATAAAAAAATTATTATCGACCTCAACAGAAAATTTCTACTTGAACTCTAAATATCTTGTTTACTTTTTACGAAGAATCTATTTTTTCCTATGTCACCAATTTCTGATAAATTCTCCAAAGTACTTGAAACTTTAAAATCTTGAATTGACACTTTATGGTGAAAAATGTAGTCACCACTTTGTGGATGAAAGACTTTATTATTATTATTTTGAGGAAGAAGTTGATTTTGTTGTGAAAAGGCACTATGCGATGAAGAAAAGGGGAAATTTCGAGTGGGTATTTGGTATTGGTCTTTTCGAATGATGTATGTCTCGTCGGAATTCTTACTTGTGATAGAATCAAGATCACAATCGACAATATTGGTACAAGTAGTAGTGATCGTCTTCTCGTCTTCTATTTTTATTGAGCTAGTGATTTCATTGTCAATGAACATCTTATCTACTAAAGTACCACTGAAAGGCTGGCAATCCCTTAGAATTTTTCTTTCAATACTCCTTTCCCTAGAGGAATCGATTGACGCTCCTGAGTCTATGGTTGGCTTTAAAATTCCCCTCACTTGATTGATAAGTTTTTTAATATAGCCAAAAGTTGAAATATCGTTCACCTCTTTAGTGATTACTTGAGCCACTTTCAATATTTCCAAAGCTTCAGTAAATTGACCAAGTTTTAAAAGTGATTGTCCACACAATAGCTTAGCATAACCCAACCATTTTTTTGAATTTACCCTATTTGATATTTTTTCACATTCAATGGAAAATTCTAATGCCAGTGTGAATCTTTTACATTCAAAATGACATCGACCTATTTCGTGCAATAACCATGCCTTTGGCAGTAAATTGTCGTTCACTTCCGGCAACAGAAATTGCCAAGCGCGAGACAAAGCATCATAGTGATGAAAGCTCACGTGTACAACGCCCAAAATCACTAGAGAATTGATAAACAATGCTATATTGCCGGATGCTCTTGAAGCATTGATCATTTGTGAGACGTTGTTTACAGCGTGATCGTGTCTTCGATTAGAGATGTGAATTAGTGCCAAACAACGATAAGCCTCAATGAGATATTGATGTGGTGCATTTAATCCCGATGCGAGGAAAATAATATCCTTCGCTGTCTTTAAAGTTGACTCGAAATCGCCAATATTGAAATATGACTTGAGACTAGCTAAACTGGAATCAGCCTGATTTTTTAGTTGTTGATGCATCATTTGAGTACGTGACAATCTCTGTGCTATTTCATTGGACATTGACAATTTTCTGCTATTTTTTCTTTCATCAAAATACCTGAGGGGAAGATAAACAGAATTTGAATTCAAAGATAATAACTTTATTGCATATTCGTTTTGTTTTGAAAAATAAGAAAAATTCTGTGCATACTGGAGAATTTGGGGAAAGTCACGAGATGGATCAGTCGATTGTTTGAGAATATTCTCAACCTTTGGGGCAGTAGACTTTAAGGTCGCGGACAATTTTACCCCGTTTTGCACTGCCATGGGCAAAAGCTTCCGTAAAGCCGAGGACGGATTAGCCGCTGTCAAGCTTATGGCTGACGTTGTTCTCCTCTTGGTAGGAACACTATGACTGCTATATATATCCCCTGCTTTGTGATATAGGTCCAAAGCCGTCTCGTAATCTTCTCTATAAATGTATATATACCGAGTACAATACAGGCAAAATTGGAAATAATAAAATGCACCTTACATATAAAATATAGCCATCAAATTTGGCACATATAGTCGTTAAAACTTTATATTCTCCAACGGTCATATTTACAGATTCAATTTCCGGTCTTCAACCATTTAGAAATAACAACAATTTTAATCATTTTTTTATTTCAACAAATTTTCTTTAATCAATAGAGAACATTTTTTACAACTATTTTTTTAGTCTATAATTTATGACGCTTTATGAAATACTCTTATATAAGATTTGCATGACCAACTGTGAAACTTTTGTGAAGAAATGCGAGAAAACGTCATTTTTACTCCTGTGTTTATATATACAGGAAATTCAGAAAAATTCTTTACGATTTTTTTTGGCATAAACTCACCGCAATAATTTTCATAAGTTTGTATTTTTATTTACAACTGTGAAATATAATCGTGAAAATGGTGGCTTAAATCCACAAGGGTATTATTTAATATAAATACACAATTTCTCGCGCATTGCAACTTTTTTTTCTTTTTTTTTAATAACTTAGGAATTTCATTTCACGGTTATAAATCAAATTTTTATGTTTATTATTATTTAAAATTTCTTTTCTCCCTAACAAAATGAAATATTTTTAACAAAATGCAAAAGTAAATTATTTTTAAAGTTAAAAATAATTTTGATGTGTTAATAATAATTATTATTTGTATTAAAAATTGAACAAATATGAAAATTAAAATTTAATTTAATTTAATTTAATAAAAAACAATGAGTTTAACCTTAAATAATGGTGTTCAGCTTCTCGTTGCAACAAATTTGCATCGTTGCCGTGCGAATTTTTTCTCTGCTTCATAGAAGCACGTTTTTCGACTTTTTCGGTAACAGACATTCTATCTTTATTTTCATCTTCAAATTCGTGTTTAAAGTCATTTAAAATTATCGCTTCTGTTAACATTGTCAATAAATATTATCATAACCCTTTATTCTTGATTTAATCCGCACTATTTCATATGTGTTTTTCTATTATTTTTACCTTCTATCATTTAAATTTTAATAATTTCACTTTACAATTCCTATACAAATATGAGATGAAAAAGATTTTTTTATTCCATTGTACAAGCATATCATGTAAAAAACTTTATTTGGAATTTCTCCTCAAAAAAATTATTCGATTTCTAAATTTCAAAGTGTCACTTCTCTAATGATTAAATTGTTCAATCAATTGTTATTATAGAATTTTCGTTTAAAATTTTTTTTATTTAATATAATTTTGTATTTTATTTATTTTTTTTTAATTCAATTAAATTAAAAAATATTATTAATTAAATACGAACAATAAGAATGTTCATACATATATGCATATTCTTATAATTTTATGTATCGCAACCTAATATAAAAATAAAATTGTAATAAATAAATAATTTCTTCTTTAATTATTCGAGTCAGATTAATTAAATTTTATTTGCAAATCCAAAATTTTAAGGGGTTCAACGAATAATTAATGTTTAAGGATACACAGAGTTCGCAGTTGGTCAAACTTCTAATTGAAATCCTAGCTTTTCAGATGATAAACTTCTTGATCAGTTTCAATTAGAGAAGACAAGAGCACATTGAAAATTTAATTTCGATATTTACAATATCGATTTACTATTTTTAAAGCAAGACTTAAAAGTTAATTTAAAAATATTATAGTTTTTTTAATGTTATATAGGTATTTAAATTGTTTTTATTCATTTGAAAAAATAAATAAATTTATTTTCAAATTTTGAGAAAAGTTTTCTATAATGTTAATAATAAAATCACACTTTAGCTATATAGAGTAGTAGAAATTTTTTCAAAATTCATTTTTTAAAATGTATTTATTATATTTAATTAAATTAATTAAAATAAAGTAGGTATGTTACATTAAATTACATTTATTTGTTGAATTGTTCATAATTATTTTATTTATTAATAAAATATTCAATTACTTTACATTGTTATTAATTTTTTGTTAATAATTTTCAATTATGTTGTTATAAATCGTAAAATTCATGTATAAATTAATAAATAAATAATCTTTAAAAATTATTTATATTCTTCAAAATTAACCAAACCAGGAATTTTTTTAATTGTCGTGTAGAATTGAAGAAAAGTTTTTCTCATTTCTTTTTCATGATTCCTTAATGATGGACTCTTAAGAATTGTACTTTTTTTCTTCTTCTTATTATTATTGGTTTCGCTACCACTATTATTTGTAAAAGTGAGATTCAACTTATTATTATTGTCAATTGGTTTACAGCCGGGCATTATTGAAAATCGTCGTTTCGATGAAATTACTCTCATGCTTCGTAAAATATAATCCATTTTGGATTTTAGTTCCATTGGCATTAAATCGACAATCAATTGTTCTCGTACGGCAATATTGTCGAGAAAAGCCATTTTCTCAATGTCCGTTTCATTGAGTATTTCGATAATTCCTTGATAGAAATCCACGAGATAATCAAATTTTTTCATTTTTTGTTGTTGTTGTCTTGCACATGACAATGCTAAAAGTGCAGCATCCCTCGCTTCATTTTTATTGTGCTGATGTATTTCGATTCTCAGCAAAAGATGTGTTGCATTTATAAACCATAATTGATTATTTATTTCAATACTCATGTCACGAGCTTTTCTAGCGTAATATCTGCGATTGGAAAAAAATTATTTTGTTTAATTTATATTATCTCTTTAATTATTCAAACAAAAACTTCATTTTTATAAAAAAAAAAAATCAAAATACATAATGCGAAAAATTTATATTCTTTTTTCCTGTTTTTTGTATATTATCGTTATACATTTATGACGTTCATTTTATATATAAGCTGTTTTGTCACCCGTTTTATATACGATTAATTTGCATTTATAATTTTCTCCATCATCAACGGAAAATATTAATCTAATATTATTCAATTTTACACCCTTGCACATTACTGTGCGGATCTTGATAATAATCTCATTGAATTTTTTCCATTATATACTACATTGATATAATAATAACTTTGTTGGAAATTTAATTTAGTTATTACCACACTATGTAAAGACGAACATAATGCATTCTGTCATTAATATATTCGCCACTGTTGTAATTATTATACATATATACTAAAATAAAGGGACTCATTGAATTTGATATGGCATATAATTATATACCTTGCCCATTCATAGCTGTTTGTCTGAATAAGTAATTTACTGAAATCATGAAAAATCCACGATAATTCTAAAGAATTATTTGTCATGGCAAGTCTGTTTTTAATTTCCTGCAGGGCTTTCTTTTTTTTGACTGTTAGAATCCAACCAATATCTTCATCACGTGGTAATTTTCCCACTTTAATTCCAATATGATGTTTTAAATAGATTTTTCTCAGTTTTTCATTTTCAATCGCCGATAAATCCCTTGATTCTAAATAAGTTAGGGCAATAGAATTGTAAAGTTTCACTAGGCATTCATTCTTCGTTGGTAACATTTTTTCTGAATTGTTGTCTAATATTAATTTTATTCTTTCAGATAATCTAAAAATAATTGTTTAGAAAATTTTTCAAATTGAATAATATATAAATAATATTAGAAATTAATAACAAACCGGAAAAATTTCACGTAATCTTTATGCAATTGATGATTATTGAGGGTGTTGAATAAAAAATCAACACGATTGATGAGAATCTTTATTTTGATTTTGTTTTCATTTTGAATTGATTTTTTATGCCCAGGAGGTCTTGCTTTGTGTTTAAATCGAAAGAAATACAATGGTCGTCTAACACGTAACATTTCTTGTCTGTTATGCAATCGTGAAAAACAAATTTTTGCCAAATTCACCAATTCATTGCTATTTTTCTTATTGGCCGACCAAATTTCTGGTCTTTGTAAAAATTCTTCAACAAAATGTTTATCTTTTGCTAATGATCTGAGATAAATTTCTGCCATAAATGATTCATGTTTTTTCAAATAGGCTTCTTTTTTTGTCGATGGATCATTGATTTTAAATTTCGATTTGTTTTCGTCTATTCCTAAAAAAATTTAAGAGAGACATGGATCTACTTTAAAAAATTGTTGGAATTTACAAGCCAATTTCATGACTTTAAAAAACGTTTACCTTCAAGTTCATCTTTCATCTGATCCCCTTGAGCGTTGAGTTGTTTAAAAAAATGTTCCATCTCCTTTATCCAGTGATACAATTCCTTGAGAACTATGGGCGAGGTATTATTACCTACACAATCCTCAATAGTCTCATTTGCCTGATAAATGCCCCATTTGAAAGGAAATGGCCTCAGTCGACGTCCCTGATAAGCGTAAATCAGACTCTGCTCGAATTCTGTGATCTTGTAGAGGGTCTCCACACGATTCCATACCACTTGGTAGTTATTCGGGTCTGTAACGTTCCGGAAAAGTGCAATTAGAGAGACCCCCCACCATTCTCATTGGCTGTGGCTCGAGTTTCCGGTCAGTTCTAACGAGCCAAACTCAACCCACCGTTCGACATGAAACTTTGTTCAGTCATTTATGCAAGTTTTCGAAATTCCGATTAGTCAACACTACCATTGCAGCAGCTTTAAGTCTATATATGTATACACGTTGCCGTGATCGGATTGCAATTTGGCTTCATTTACATTTCAAGCTGTGCTCGAGGAAAATTTCATTATATTTCTTTTACAAATTTCGTCTTTTACATAATTTTCGTTTGTCAAATTTGTCCCGTCTAATAAATTGCAAATAAGTTGAAATTTCTAAATTGTACAAAACTGATTAGTCGAAACGGTATTAAACTGTTTTTAAAATTCTACGAAAGCCGTTCGAAAGTGTTTAAAACTTGTTTTAATTAGTTCAGAACTTATTTTAAAAATATTTAAAATTAAAAATTTTCACGCCTTAAAAACCTTTAAAACATGTTTTAAATAGTTTAAAATTATTAAAGCGTAATTTTTATTTCAATAAATGTTATATTTAAAATTTTTTACACAAATTGTGGAAAAAAGTGAATGAATTAATTGTTTTTTTTCTATTGACATTGAACTTAATAAATAAGTATGTATAATATATTGACCCACCAATTTTCATGCACATGTCAACAATTTTAGCAGCTGCTTTATATTTATGAATAGACGTGAGGGCACTCGTTAGACCCAATAAAGTTTTCAAATCATTTCCATCACTCAATTCCATTGACTTGCTAAAGTGCTCGATAGCTTTCATAAACTGTTTCAAGGTGGTAAAGCGACAGCCCCATTCTCGATAAAGGGTTGCACCTCTGAATAATTCCGACACTTCTTCCTCTTCATGCTTCATTATATATTATATATTCCTTAAAGTATCAATTTTATTTATATTATTTTTTATTTATTATTTAAGAAGTTAAAAAGGTAAGAAGTTTTATTTTAACTCAGCTTTTAAAAATATGAATAATTATTATCATTCAAAAATATTTTTTACGTATATTATTAAAACTTTTTGGAAAGAAAATTTTATGACAAAAAAGTTACAATTGTTTATATAAAAAAAAATAAGAAGAAATAAAGTTTCTAAACGATGAAAATTTTCAATTATAAAGTTTATACCTGCAGTTATTTCAAGTTTTTAGAAAGAGTTGACAAATAACTTAAAATACGTGACATATACAGTTTCAAAGTTTACTTTTATTTTTCAGTGTTGAACTTTTAAATAATTTTTCAAAATTAAAGTTTCTTTTAAATAGTTTTGACACTTTCAAGTGGATTTCATATATATTGCACTTTTTAATTCATTAAAGACTAATATGTGCAGAACTTTTTTTAATTTTACTGAAATTTTAATTTTTTTTTAATTTTTGATAAACGGTCAGAGGGAATTTTATCAACAACTTGAAATGAGGTTAAATATTTTTTGTTTAATCGGAAATTAGGAACGAATAAAGTTAATTAATTACTATTAAAAGAAAAACTAGAATTAAATGAAAATATATGTACCAAGAAAACAAATAAAATTTTCAAAAAATTATTAAAAATCAATTTCATTTTTATAAAAAAGTTTATTATTAGTATACTAAAAAATTTCTAATTTTATTTGAGGAGTTTATTTTCCTTTTCTTTTACAGTAAATGTCAAAAACTTTTTAAACACTTTTCTCCAACAATATTTTGAATCAATATATTCTAAAGAGTTTTAAAAGAAACTGAAAGTATAACAAAGTTTTTAAAAAGGGAAAAACGCTCTGGAATTCTTAAGTAGCATTATATATTATATTATTTAAACTACTACCTCCAAAACTTGGTTATAATCTTCAACAATTTTCTACAAGTTTGCATCCTATAAAATTTAATCGTTTTTCATACTTAATATATAGAGATACAAAAACTTTGTTTTCTCCAAAGAAGCTTATTTATAAATAAGACCAACTTTTTAGTTCTCGCATTCAAAAATCTTGTATTAACCTATTTTTTAATTCTGTATATTCTTATTATATTTGAAAGGAAAAAAAGTTTAATAATAATAATAATTTTGATTTATTTAAAGAGGGATGTTATCATACAAAAAGAAAAACTAAAAAAACAGAATATTTTATTGAGAATTTTTTTGCTTTTATCATTACAGGATCATCAAGGGCGATTAAAAAAACTTGAGAGACAAGTGCCATCAGTGAAGCCAACAACTCAAGTGTGACACACTCGGGATGCGGTGATGGCTCTTTTGTATAGATTCGCGCAGCTACCAGATCGCGGTGGCACGCGAGTCTTTTCCTTTGTTGTGACAAGAAGTGTCGTCCGTGATCCCGAAAGGGATGTCACTAGCAAAGAGCTGGTCTGTGGCTTTCAGAGATGGGCCGTTGCATTTTCTCGCGGAGACAAGGTATTTTTTCACTATATGCCTCGCAAAGAACATTATGTCCTCTTTAACAAAAGTCAAAGAACTGCCACAAAAAATTAAAAACAAGAATTGCCCTAAGGAAATTTTTCAATTAAAAAAAGAAAAAGTGGTTTTTGTATTTTAATAAATATTTTTTGAAAATTTGAAAATAATAAATATTACTTAAAAAGATATATAACTTGTTTTTTAAATAAATAAATATTGCATGCAACCTTCGAGGAGTTGAAAACACCTCGTCCCCACGCGCAGCAATTAAGGACTTTTTGCATCGCAAAAGTGACAAGAATTTAAAAAATTATGTTCATTTCACAAAAAACAGGTTCTTGGAGTTTATTTAGTTTGGCGTGGCGCAGCGCCGGGTCTTCGTGTCTACGTGGATTTTGCATTCACAATTCTAAATCGTCAACATTTCTCCGAGAATGAGGGATTTTCTGGCAAGAGGGTGAAATTCACTTATGACGCGCCAGCCCAGGGTAATCGCAATTACATTGCCGTCGCTGATCTCTACAGTCGTAAATTTGCCGATCCGAATGGCGAATTTCAATTGGAATTGTCCATGGCAAACGTCAGGACTGTCTACACAGCGGAGGTAGAATTTATGTAATATTCAATTTATTTTATTTTTAATATTATAATTTACCGTTTCTTTTTTTTCCAAATTTCTAGGTTAAGCTTCCAACAGGTGTGTTTGTTGGTCAGCCAAAAAGCACAAAACTCGAAACAGGCTATTTTACATTTGGTGGATTCGACTGGAATTTGGTGATTTATCCCTACGGGAATAAAGAGAGTGAATCACGTTCATCACAAGAGAACAGATTGAGCGTCTATCTTGTGAGACTAACTGGCTTTGATCATCGATGTCGAGTTATATATAGTGTAACATTGGGCGAGGGTGAACGGGCAATCGAATCGGGGCAAATAGAAGATCTCTCCGATGCTGAGGGTCGTGGATTTGGATGGCATCCACGTGTTCGTTGGTCCGATATTCAGCATAAAGGTGCATTACGTGTATCATTAGAAATGGTTGAAGCAAGGACAATTTCTGAAATCGCCGTACAAGCATTAGGCTCATCTACTCTACCAGCGTCACCATGCTACGATCGGGATAAACAAGCCTGGACAATTAGAGCAGATCTTCATTCCGATACTGTTAGATTACATCTCGTCTACAAGGACATCCACAATGTTCCACGAAATCATTTAAGGTGATTATAGGCTTAGATGCTTTTACAATTCGTCTTTTGTAATCTGTATAGGTATTTGAATTCTGGTTAAAAAATATGTTGACAGATACGTGAGCTGGTCGGCATACATGATGAGAGGTGACGAGCAAGATCCGGAAGCAATAAGTTTACCGGGTGCCCCTTTTAGTCGATATTACGCGCAGGAACCAGCTGACGAGGGGATCATTATGGAGACGAGTCTCGGTGTCAATGAAGTTAAGGATGAACATTGTCCTTTTGTAACGGACAAGGGTCAAATTCGTATCCGATTAGAATGGAATGAGAGTCACCTTTTATTTCAAGCGACTTATCATAAATACGATGATGTTTGTCGTGTGCATAATCAACAAATGCGTCGTGAAATTGCCACACTACAAGCGGAGAACTATCATCTTGAGAGGGAATTATTTACATATCAAAAGAGTCTTGCATTTGCGCAACAACAAAATCAACAAACACAACAAACACCACATTCAGGACATCTTGAACGTTCAGCCTCGTCTGACACAGAATACGCCTGACATGTGGATAGCGGCCTCTATCAGAAATCATCATCAAATCGTCTATGCCCCACCGTTGTACACGAGGCTGATCGTCGTGTTCATGAGAATCTCAATAGAATAATGGATCGTCGATTAAGTAATGTACAACAACAATTGAGACGTGAATCAGACGCTACTTCGCGAAAATCACAAGAATCGAGAAATTCTTACAGTGAAACGTCACAGTCAATGAATCAACGTCACAGTAGTATTGTTAATCAGCCAAAAATTGGATCTTCTGTTGAATATAATAATTCGGAGAGAGGTTTTGGTTATTCAGTGTATCCACCGGGTCTCGCACAACAAAAAAGACGACGTACATCACTTTGGGAAGCATTGACGGGTTTGGTGTGCTCATTGGGAGCTCTTGCTTCGCGTGCAGCTAAAATGGCCGCCAGACGAAGTGAACCTCTCTGAGGGCAAGTGTGTGATTTTTTTTCTTTAATATGACTCTTATAGGACTTTGTGCAGGAATTCTAATATCAAAGTTTGATGAAAAAAATTAGGGCAAGAGGCCGCTATGTAGAATCAGAGAGACCTCTTTCTACTTGTCAATTGATAATATATATATATAAAATAACACAACACTAAAAGAACCTATTTTCCTCTAAAGAACTTTTTCACTTATAAAGTATAACTATATATATATACATATTACGAAATCCTACGAAAAGTCGCTATACGACCACAAGAATTTCTTATATAGTATATAGTAATTAAATGTATAATTATAACGTAGGACTAGTGATTATCACCATAAATACACTTACGAGAAGCAATTAGAGAGTTATCGATGTTAGACGCGCGTAATCGGTCGCGGGCTTTAGGCGCGAATTATAATTATAACAGCTTGCAGATATATATGTCCTTTTCTAATTTTCTCATATCTCTTTTCACGTTTATCTGACATGTTTTCTTTCATATAATAATTGTCTTCACATAACCTCAAAGCCTCTTTTAATGGGTAATTATCGTTACAGACTCTTTAGAAACTCGCATAATAAATTTTCAATGATTTTCTACATCAGTAGGGTGTAATACAATAGAATTCATTATTATATTAGTTGTTACTCCCATTGTCGTAACCGTTAAAATAAGGAGCTTATCTGCTTATTGCGTAGACACAGCCTTATGTGACAAAACTCTAGTAACTTTTTTCCCCCTTTCTAGTCACCAATCAAAATTCCATAAAATAATTTCTGAATATTAAAAGAGGTTAGAGGTTAAATTTTAAACATATAAGAAATATTCTGCCGACAGGCGTTAAATGTTTTCTTTCTCAAATATATATAACGTAACTTAAAAAAAACCTTTATTTCCTTTTTTGAGTAGGATTTGCGGAAAAGCGCAGTTCTCGTGTACGTTATATATTCTCCTACTGATAAGAAATCTTTGGAAACTTACTAGAAACTCATTGAGTTTTTAGTAAATTTCTAGAGAGTCTATGTCCATAGGGTCTACAATGTAGACTATATACATATACATAATATACATATAGACGAATTTTACAAATATCTTTTTTCAAAAAGTAACATAATGTAGGAATTTATGTCCTCCAGCATATTATATTTAGAAATTTCAAATCTCTCATTTTTTTATACGGCACATTTCAAACTGGAATTATATGCGACTGAGAATATGATATATGGTCTTTAGAGATAAAATGATTTTTCTTTTTTAATAAGTTCTTATTTGTTTTATTCATTTTCGAAGGCGAAAATCGAATTATATTTGTTGGTGAAAAATTTAAGTAAAAGACAACTACTAGCCAAATATATATATATGTCTTTTTTCGAAAGCAACAGTGCCAATATATATAATATAAATTTTAACGTTTATGCATTTTTGTCGCGAAATTGTATAATAGTTTATGAAAATGGTATATATAACAATCATAAAATTTAATTGAGCATCAGGAAAATATGGAAATTCCATTTTTACCGAATAATGATGAAAATAAAAAAAAAAGTTTGAACGAGCGAGATATGGGAAAATAATGTAGAAAAGCGGATTTTCAACTCATTGATATTTCTACTCGAACGAAAAATAAAAAAAAAGATAATAAACATATGTATACACAAGCCAGACACATGTATATGTCGAGTCATATCCGATCGATATAGTATGACAACTTGTATATTAACTATTCTCATGGAAAAAGTATATTACAAACGCGTAAATATTCACATTTTTTCTTTTTAAAATAGATATCGGTTCGACGAGTTATTTAAAAATCGAATTCTTGAAAGAAAAAAATCAATTTGATAAAACTTTGGCTAAAAGTATATACTCGATAAAGAATTTCTCTTATAGCAGAAATGTATACTTTGTACATAATAAGAAAAAAAAACTTAGCGTGTTGCTTTCGAGTGTCAATATTAACATTCCCTCGTTATTTATATTTATCGTAATTAAATATCACGTCACCATTTTTGTTCCCTACACCTTTCTTATCGATTTTTTAAACATGTGTATACTATTATATCATTCAAATAGTGATCATTTCTAATATGAATTTATTTAACATTCATCATTAAGTTACATTCTTTAAGATTTTTAATATATATATGAATATATATATATTATATTTATTGTAAAACGTATATAAAACTTTACGAGATATGTACGTGTATCATGTCAGAGTATAGATTTATATACTTTGCTAGAAAAGCTTTTACTTCGATACTCGTTCGTATGCTACACCGTGCGCTTTGCTATTTAACTATATATACTTATACACACATATTTATAGAAAGAGAGAATGTAAAATATATACATATACAAAAGTCCCTGAAACTATAATAATTGCCGTTATCCTATTTTGTACGATATATGCGAGTATCGGTATTTAACATTTCTCAACATAACGTTTAGATAATAATCGACGGCTTTCGATTTTTTCTGATTCCTTATCGATTGCCATTTTTGGTCACTTTGAAACAATTTTTTTTGCCCATATTTATACCAATTTCAAAAATACTACCCAATTTTTTTCTTCTTTTTATATTAATTTTAGGAGATTGATATTGAATTAATCGTAAGTCACTATTAATACGTTACAGGGTGTTTTGAGAGTACGAGGTGCGCCGTTTAATTTTTTTAAACGCACTTTACGCGACATTATAGCAGTATGACAATCGCACACAATTTTTTCTTATATACCCTATAAATAATAAGAAATAAATACTTTTCAATAATATACGCGTAAAACAACAACACACACACTTTATGGAAAGATGCATATCAATTGCGAGTAACAGTGATTGAAAAAAATAAAAATGTTAGCATTTTTAACATATATTGAAACAAAAAATGCAAAAAAAAAGAATTTGGATACATATATGGAATTCAAAAAATTTTAGGATTTCAGTAAATGATAACAATTTTTATATATATATGATGTATTCCACGCCAAAGTGTAAGTCCATCTGCAATTGCATCTCCGATTTTTTTGAGATTTTTTTTTCTTTTAGTACTAACTGAGACTAGCTTTCATGAATTTTTTCAAATTTTTTCAGCAAGCCGTTTTCGAGTTATGGAATTTTGAAAATTGGAGCATTTTCATGACTTTTAATTTTTGAATGCTCATAACTTCCTTAAAAATGCATCAAAAAACTACTTCTTTTTACAAAAGTTTTAAGCCTAGCCCGATAATGGGCAAACGATTTTGACAATATTTTCGGAATTTTTCAAAAATTTTTGAATTTTGAATTTTTTAAAAATATTTTTGGTTTTTTTTATACTACGTACTTTTATGTATTTTGATGCGCTGATTACGAAAAAGTCCCAAAATTGATGCATTTTTAAGGAAGTTATGAGCATTCAAAAATTAAAAGTCATGAAAATGCTCCAATTTTCAAAATTCCATAACTCGAAAACGGCTTGCTAAAAAAATTTTGAAAAAATTCATGGAAGCTTGTCTCAATTAGTAGTAAAAGAAAAAAAAAATTTCAATAAAATCGGAGATGCAATTGCAGATGGATTTACACTTTGGCGTGGAATACATCATACATATATATATATATATAGTTTTTTAAAATTGTATCTATACTCATCATTATTTCTTTTAATTTTTTAATATATAGTTGTCTTGAAATTACATAACTTCGGAAAATATGTTTTTTTCACATTTTTATTTTTAGAGAATTATGCATTGTATACAGATGAAAGTATGCGTAATTTTTTTGTGATAACTTTTTTTAATGTCTCTTTTCATGTGTAAAAAAATGTGAAACATGAAATATGATTCGTGCATTTTTTTACGTGAATTGGCGCATTTAAACAAGGTCAGCAATTACTTTTACATTTTTATCTTATTTCCTATAACATATTATTTTAACTCTTTTTTCTATGTGCTATATTTAAATTTTGCTAACTTCTTTATTATAGTTCTTTTTATAATACTCTTGGTGTTTATACCGATTATGAGAAATCCTTTATATATATACTCTTTATAAAACTACGAGCTTACAGTGATTTTTGAAAAATCTTTTTTACTTTTCCTATCCTTTTAAAAGTACTTACACGAGAGAATGAACTGTATATTATATTATATTAACATTGATTTTATTCGTTTCCTCATCGGTTTATTTTACATTAATCAACTTTTTATTTATGTAATTGAAAACTGATCTAGCATTAAAAAGCAGTTTTCAACCGAAATTAACCAACTTTTTTTCACTATTGGCAAGCTCTAACGCGGTTCTTTTTTTCTTCTCACTATTTCTCCAGGAGAGAGAAATTGCAAATATCCAGTGAGGACCCTGTATTTCCCTTTTTGCAAGTAACAAAATTATCCTTATTTCTCTTGTCAAACAAACTTTTATCATATATATATATAATATTTTCATTTTACATAACTTTAACATTTTTTTCTAATATTCATTATTACATAAATTATTACATACATACATATATATTTTATAATATGTCTAATACATTTTTGGAATTTTTTTTTCAAAATTAATGGTTTATTATTA